AGATGTGTATAAGAGACATCTCTAAACCATTACTCACCCCTCCCCCAAAATTACTTGCAAGTAGTTAATAATTATCTAAAATCACCTTGCAAGTTAGTACCCCTCAACTGATCATCGAGCCCCCGCCCCACTTCACCTTCACGCCTCTCCCCATCAGCACTCCCATTTCAAGACTTCTACAGGTAGATACGCCACTGTATTGCGGTTATATGAACAGCCTAGGCTAATAACAAACTTTATCATCACCTCAAAAACAGGAAGCGAGATGTGACATAAAAAGCATGACAGGAATAGAATGATAAGTTCCAAAGGAGAGACTATTGAAATGATAGCACTCTTTGTTTTCAATAATAAACTTTCAGTTATATAGTTACATAGTTTGTTCGAACTGTATACTGTGGTTTATATGACCAGCCTTGGCTAAGCAACTTTATAATTATTTCAAAACAGGAAGTGGGACTTGAAATAAAAAAGCATGATAGAGAATTGAATGAGAGATTATTAAAAGATACAAAAGCACTGTTTTGTTTTCAATCACAACTCACAATTTGTAATCAAGGAGAGCAATTCTAGATCAAATTGAAATTAGATCTAAATATAATTTCAGTTTCATATTTTAATAGAAACAAAGATAATTTCTTCCAGAGGAACATCTGTAGATTGGTGAGTCTGTATATACAGTAGTACAGAATGCTAAAAACAATATAAACGCTTATGATTAAATATGTATTTTTAGGCCTACAGTAGTTCAAACTAGGTGGATAAACCCGGCTCAACTCGCCGGGTTTATCCACCTGCCAGTCTGAACTAGGTGGCTTATCTCAAGCTGGGCTGTGTTCCTATAGTAACCTGGTGCGCCACCGTGTTTAACTTTTCTAAGCCAGGCTTTAATCGTTGCGAGGGGGGGGGGGTCTTACATTGACTTCGGGTGATGAAATGACCAATCAGCATTCAATTATGTATGCTGTGAGCGAGCGTACGTTTCGCGAGCAATGTTTTGAAACATGTTTCCTGGTTACGGTTCATTATTATGCAAATTCTCGTCTGGCTAAACCCGATAGTCCGAACGCCCGGCAAAGTTAAGTCGGGCTTAACTTTGTGCCGGGCTTAACTCAAGCCTGGCTTATCTCCAAGTCTGAATGTAGCCTAATACTTTTTTCCATGATCAGCTAAAACCAGCTAAGATGGGCATAGGTCTGGTAGAGCATGGGCTCAGCAGAGAATATTTATAATCAAAGTTCTTTTAACAATAATCTAGCAAATGGTTATAATATCCTTTCAAATTCCCAGCAAAGGCTTGATTCTCACTATTGTAACTTGTTTGTATTTTGGGCTAGCTAGATTATTCATATTTTTTATTGCTCCAGTGTCAGTAATAACTAAAGCAATAAGACCAACATACAATTACTCAAAGGACAGCAGATGAACGATTGCTATGAAGTTGTAAAATATAATAGGTATATTAATGTTTTTTTGGTAAACTAAAAATAGGGAGTGGGTGTGGTCAATGAGCTCACCTACCAATACCAGAATTCTGGGTTCAGTCCTCACAGATGTAAACAAATTCACTCCCTAAGCCTCAAAATGAGACATGATTTGCAAAGCTTTACAGCATATTCCTCTCTCCATTGCCGAGTCACTTGACATTGGACGAGGATGTAATACAATATTTGTTTTATAATAAATCCTTTCCGCATAATGAGGTTGGATGGATGTAGATTAAAAAAAAAAGCAAAATGCACTTTTTTAAACTTTGTAAAACAAATACAATAAAGGAACTTCCTGACACACTTTCTTTCTTTAATGTATGATGATACATTGATGACAGAATTAGAGGTACGTGAAGGTGGATTGGCAGCACTTTAGGCAACCTTGACTAATTGGATTTGATAATTAATGAGTCATAAACTACTAGGTCAAATGTTATGTACAAACTGTATTACTAAAGTAAAAATGCCTAGTGTAAATTGCCTAGTGTAAATTGTTTATCTATATATAGGTCAGAATGTGAAAGGTTGTATTTCCCTCAAGTATTCAAATTTGTTCTTGTAATCTCCCTACAAACACTATTACGAGAGCAATTTCAAACCATAAAATGCTGATATTTGTACAGTAGTCCAGGTAATATAAACAATTAACACATAAATTTAACTGGCTTCTTCCATAATACTGTAGTGACTGGTAATTCAATTAAATTCAAAATAACATTTATTACCTTTCTACAGTATACAAAAATATAAAGTACATTGAGATAACAAAAAGAATTCAGCATACAAAGGAAGAAGGCAAAAGATAAATAAGCCAATCTTGTGCTGGGCCAGACTAAAAGCAAACAAAATTAAGCTAAGTTGTTTCACAGGAAAGCCTGACAATTTCTGGTGGTGTCCAGGGGTAAGTCCTGGTAGGATACTGGGGATATTTATTTATTTATTTATTCTTTCTTTATACTGAATATACACTTTCAATACATAGTACTGATTTCCAAAGTGGGTCAGTTCTTATCTACAAAAACATTTTAAAAGCAGAAAATAACAAAGAGAGCAAAAACTTATTAAAAAACAAATTAAAAAAAATAAACACAACATATCTAAGGTCACATGTATAACCCAAGAGGAATACTTGATTTGATTATCGGTATCTCATAAAGAAGGCCCCTCCTGCCTAGCTGCAAGGCTATATTTGTATATTAGTTTGATAACTCAAGTAACTATATTCTTTCCATGTTTAATACATTTTGCCTTCATTCATAATCCATCGATTTTGTATTTCATTTTCTCTAACATGCAAAGAATTTAATGCTCTATTCTCTCCAATTATTTTCTGAATATGTGTGCATTTTTGTAACACCATCCATCCCTAAATTTAACTAACTGACTTAATATGGGGCAAAGACAAGCCAAACCAGTCACTCGTCGCAAATCATGTTTCAGAGAAAATGGCTAAAACATGCTGGAATGTCAAATTTTTAAAAATCTATTTTATTGCACTAAACTCACCATTATATATCTACACATTATGCTGTAATTTTCCCCATTTTCAATGTTAAAACAATACTTTTTAAGGATTTAATGATAGTTTCTGCATGAGAAATGCCTGAAATCATAAACTTTGACGGTTAATTTCTCATATATTGTTCTTGAAACAGCTGTGTGGTTAAACGCTTGTAACTTCATAAGGAAATGTCCGATTTGAATGATTTTTTTACCATTTTATAGCTATTATTTTACTCTCTAACACTGTATCAATAACTCAAAATCGATTTTTGCGACGAGTGACTGGTTTGGCTTGTCTTTGCCACATATACAGATAGATAGCTGCATAAATGAATGATAGATTAGTTTAATGATTGTATGAATGAATAAATGAACGAACTAAAGAACGAATGAATGAACGAAGGAACTAAAGAACGAATGAATGAACGAAGGAACAAATGAACGAATGGTTTACAGAGCAACTGAATGGTTGGATGAATGTATGAATGAATACTTATTGTATTGTATAAATGAATGAATGAATGAATGAATAAATTAATACATGATTGATTGACTGACCAAATGAGTGATCGAACCTCACCATTTAACCTTTCTTGTTCTGAGGTGTTCTCGTGTGTTCCATCTTCATCATCCTCATCCAAACTAATTTCAATTGAAGCCCAGTTATTGACACCAAGAATTGCAGCACTTTTCCTCTTGATCGACTTATTTTGTTTTACCATCTGAAAAATTTGAATAAAAAGTTTTACTTTTTTTGGTAAAGCTTTTATAGAAGTTTGATTTACCGCTTGATTGGGTGCCCTTATAGGCCACTGACTTGTGAACTTTGGGCTACTTCGACATTGGTCCCAAGTTGAAAGAAGCAACTTCAAGAAGATTTGGTTAAATGAGCTTCCTTTTCAAAATAATCATTATCAGCAATCAGGTTCAAGAAGCAATGTATAAAAATAGTTTTTCGTTATAATTTCTGACTTTATGTAACTAAATATACGACTAACTAATAATACAACATCTATGATAATATATGAAGAATCTTAGATCTAATAATAATATTATTTAATAGATATTATAAAAGAATTCAAACATTTAGCACTTCAATGCATTAATACAGTGTACAGCACAGCCCAAGTTCACAGACGTTTCAACGGTAGTTATTTGAACACAAGGGAAATCCCCATGGCTTGCTTGCCATAGATAGCCTTTGCAATTTCCTCTCACTTAGCGGACAACAGAGGGAATGATATATATTGAAAGTTTCCGTCGTGCTAAGTAGCGTGGTAATACGACGGCGGCAAATTGGATATTGCAAGATCACGGCATAGACAAGCTTAATGCTTCAGACGAAGGGATATTCCCTCGACTGCCGATATCCCATCTGAATGTATATAATGTTGTGTATACAATTGTATTTTATTTATATCAGAATGTGTGTGAGGAGAGGGGGTAAGATCATTAAATGGAATGTTGAGATATAAATATAACACACTAGTCATTATGCACATTTTTCAGCCTGTCTTCTACAAATCCTCCTTATACAGTTACGAACTTCTCATTCCAAAATTAGTGTAGCGAGATACTTTACATTTGTATGCTGATAACAAATTGACAATCAATAAAATACCTGAACCTGAAGTTATATAAATAGCAAATAAAGAATTATTCTACCTTTGTAGCATAACTTTCAGCCTCTTCTCGGCAAAACTGCTCAACTTCAAGTTGTGCTTTGATTTCTGCAAACTCATCGCAAGCTGCCTCGGACACTGAGACAAAAAACATAAGTGTTGTATTTTTAAATTGATGGCAGATAAAGATAATAAGAATGAAAGTGGTGACATACATCTTATTCTGAATAACTTTGGTGAGGCATTTTTTATACCTTGTTTTGCGACCTTACTTTTTGAAAGATGGAGAGCAGGAAAAAACAGAAAAATGAAATTTTGTTTTCTTATTCAGCAAATAGTTTTGTTTAATATTAGTGAAAATAGTAATAGTACTTAAACTTCCTGTGAGCATTACCTAAGTCTGCCCAAGGATGGTAGTTTGCTAGAGGATATCTATGCTAGGGTGGGGTTAGAATAGAGGTAGAGGTGTGGACTTAAAAACAAGAAAACATATTTTTCTTTATATTGGGTAACCTGTTGCATAGAAATCTACTTTTCTTCCAGAGTGCCCAAGTTATAATTATATATAAAACTTTAGTCTCATTATGAGGTTTAGGGAGGGAAGTTAAAAAATTTAGTGATGAGAACAAAAAAATGTACTGCCACAAGGATGGAAAACATGACCTTGAGATTCGAAAGCAAGCATATCTTATCTACCAAGCTAGTATATAAGGAAGGATTATATGATAGAGTCTGATATTTGGAGTGGTGGACTGCAAACCCACCCCCTCTCCCACAATAAAAGTTGGAAAATAAAAAAATATGAAGAAAAAAAGATTACACAGTTTGTCCTCCAATTTGATACAACCTTTGGGGTGACCTCTGGTTTGGTCTCAACTTAATGGGTTAGATTTGTGTTATAAGATTAAAGATTGTTATATGGTTCTTTGAAAAACTGATCTCAAATTAGAGGGGTCTCGAATTGGAGGGTGTACTCCAAATTAAAATTTGTGTGTGGTATTTCCGGCCATCTAGAGGCGCCATAGCATACACTTTCGTATAATTTGATCTGTAAAAGTGCTCCCTGGGCCTCTCTTTTTTAAATTCCTGGATCCGCCACTGTTTTGATTTCTGATTCTAAAAAAATTAAAAAAAAAAAAAAATTCTGTGCACAATATGAGACATACTTTTTGAAACAGAATTATGTACCAATGAAACCCCAAGAGTCAGACATCTTGCTATTCTATACCCTTTGCTTAAATGCTCAGTTTCAGAAATTTAATGTTACAAATACCATATCCTATAGTTATTCTATAGGTGTTAATATTAACACTAAGTGTTAATTGTCAACCTGTGGTCCTTTCCAGCTATGCTGTGAAGACTTTTTATGCAGGCAAAGAAAAAAAAAACTGCTACCAAACAACAAAATCAACACCAAATCTATTAGCTTTGATTGAGGGAAACAAATTCTAGTGGATCATATCTAAACCACTTAATGCAATCACCTATAACGAGTTGCACTTGAGCAGTAGATAAAAAAAGGTCAAAATCATAGCCACCAAGCATAAATTGTATGGTTGAATTTTACAGTATTTCATCAAATGTTCTCTATTTAAAAATATTTCTATTACTAATACTATGGACTATTGTGTAGACATGAGGCCTGCCATTCAAAAACCAGAATAAGTGAACGAAAAAAATGAAAAATTGAATTTTTTATATATACTTAATACTCAATATGTATGTATATATATATATATATATATATATACATACATTATATACTTTGTATTTATATATATTTATACAATACTGCCCGTTCTTTTGCTAATTTCTCAGTTTAACAATTAGCGATAATACACTGGTTTTTGGGATGGCAAGATGTTTTATACTGCAGCCCAAAAAGTTGACAATAAATCTAAAAAAAAAATAAATAAAAAAATAAAAGCTCTGAATTGTGTATTTGAAAAAAGAAAAATCAGATAATTTTCAAATCCTGGTAGCTTTAATTGTCTTTTGGGTCTTAAATTAGAGGGAGCCCTGTCCAGACTATCAAATTTGATTTAACATAAAATTGTGGAATGCTTCAATATGGTTATGATGACATCACATCATGACCATATATAGGCACATCATTACTATATATGGGCATACAACAGTTTTTTGTCAAAGAAAATTTGGTAGTGTGGACAGAGCTTAATGACTGCATTCATAAATAATAATAATAATAATAATAATAATAATAATAATAATAATAGTAATAATAATAATAATAATAATAGTAATAATAATAATAATAATAATAATAATAATAATAATAGTAATAATAATAATAGTAA